TGGCCCCGGGGTATGGAGGAAATGACACCGGCAGGCACATCTGGTGCATATCAGGCTTGTGGGATGGCATTGCAGGGGGAAAATGCATGTTTTTGGCTCAATAGCAGGTCTGCAGTGCTGCCTTTTGTCTGGCGGATGAGATGAAAGTGCCAGCCGGGCTGCAGAGGTGAAGCTGGGAGGAGATTTCCCTTGGTGCAGATGCAACCCGGATGTGTAGTGAAAGCAGCACAAGGAGTGAGGCGGTTGTGTGTCCCAAGGATCGGCGTGTCCCTCTGCAAGCGAGGAAACCCTTGTGTTAACCACATCACTGCACTGCTGGGAGGGTGCCGGGCATGTGAGAAAAGACTTCAAACACATCCTCATGTTCACACCTTTCTGTGCTTGTTTCGCGTCAAGCTGGTTGGGATGAAGCAGAACAGCACTGTGTCCCCTGCCCAGGTCACCCCCAGCTCCCTGCTGCACTGGCCAGCAATGGCCAAACATTAGGGATGAGCATCAGTGTGGAAGAGCCTCACCAGCCACCATCTTAGCAGCCAGGAGCTGGTTACGATGATTTTTTTTTTCAATTTATTTATTCCTTAGTTCCCAGGGGTGAATAAAATATGTATCTGCGTCTCTGCTACCTCCACTGCCACCTGCACGCGTGTGCACAGAGGCAAAGCTGGGGGCTTCTTTGCTATGCAACCTCCCTGCATTAATGCAGTTATTAAGGTTAATCATAGTGCCCTAGGGACAGGCTTAGAAAAGGGATGATAGCCTGGAGCAGCTGAGAGCAGAACCGAATTACCCAGGTGGTTTCTTGCACTCCATGTGGGGATGGAGCCTCCTTAGCGCTGCCCATCAAATTATGGTAATGGGTTTGACTGAGAGCATCTAATGTCTCATAGGATAGACATATGTAAGAATTATGTGATATTATCACAACAAGGCCTCATTTTTCTGTGATACTTATTAAGAAGTGGGAAAAAATCATTATTAACTCGAGGCAATAAGAAGGATCCAAAAAAGAGTGGAAAAGGAGCATGTGCAGCTCAGCCAGCCCACGCTAAGTTCAGTCTCAACATCTTAGACAAAATAAGGTAGTTTTGATAGAGGCCAGGTTTTCTTGCTCTTGTTTCAACACTTTTCCGGCTGATGTAAATGTGGATATTTTCCCTAAAATGCTTGTAAGATACATATACATATATATATATAAAAGCATCTATGACATCCCAAGCAACCACATATCTGTTATGAGATGATTAATTAACATTTATGATATAAATAGCAGGAAAAATCCACTGCTTTCCAAGCTCCTGAGCCCCTAATAGTGCTGTCTCCCAAGCTGGGACAAATCTCTGAGATTTATTTGAAAAGACATCATTTATTTGGCTGCTAGGAGGAGGGAGCTGGTGTCCCAGGCTATTTGGGGCACTGAATGGAGAAGAAATGTCAAAATTTGCCCCTTGGTTTTAATGGCATCAAGAGAAACCCAACCTGAAGTCTTGCCTAGCTGGACCTTGCTGTTGAATCATGGTTAGGAAATCTGTACTTGAAGCTGTGATTTTGGGTCAAAATATGAATCTTTAGTTAGGAAAAGACCCTTTCTGAGCTGCTCCTCAGTGGTGTAGGTATGCGACTCCTTGCTTTCAGCGAGCTTGGCACTCTGGGAACCTTTGGGGATAGCAGCAATTTTGATTTTCTCTATGTTTCTGGCATTCAAAGCAACTGTCGGTGATCCCAAATGATCTTTGATCAAATGAGCTTTGCTTGCCCTGAAAAAGGCTATTTCTGTCAATGCCTTAAAAAAAGTGATGGCAAGCTCAGAAGTCAGAATTTGATAAGAAAAATCTCCTCCTTCCTTTTTTTTTTTTTTTTTTAATAGCAATTCAATTCCGAGATGGGCAGTCAGAGCTGTGATGTTTCCTATCACAAGAGGCCAGCAGTGTCCTTTCAAAGGTTGCATTGGTGGCGGTGGAGGCTCAAGTACAGAGACTTATACAACTCGCTTCCACTCGCTTCTTTTTATTTTCAACTAGCATTTGCTGACGAAGCCGTCTCGCAGCTATGTGGTTTGGGGGTTTTGTTTGTTTGTTTGTTGTTTTTATTTTTTTTAAAGCTGATTGTCTTTTTTTTTCCCTCTTTTCTTTTTCCACTTCAGTTGCTCACATCACCCGCAGGGTTGAGCTAGATGAGCGTCACTCTGGGCTCTCTGGCCGCCACCACCTTCCTTGTGCAGTGGCCAGGGCTCGCACCTCCCACGCGCTCCCGCTGCGCAAACCCTCGGGCCCAGCATCGGAACAAGATTACGGCAGAAACCTACTTTCCGCTAAGTCACCACAGCATTTTTTGACTAACCTCAAAAGCCTCCTAGACCTTTTGCCCGCTCCCTCATTTCTCTGAGCAGCTTCTCTTCAGAGTTGGGATGGGGAAAATGCAGCACATAAGGTCACCTCATTCCCTGCAGTGCCTGCAGCCCCAGCATGCAGGAGGGCATCTTGCTTAATGCATATTTATTTTATCTCACCAAAAAGTGAGCTGGGGGGTGACTAGCAGAGCCAGAGGCTGCCCTCAGAGAAGCAGCAGCCCAGAGACATTGATGCTTTTGGAGGGGAGGTTTGTCCCCACCAAAGCTGGGTGTTTCCCAGGGGTGATGGGCAGGAGAAACACAGCTGATCCTGCTCCAAACAGAAAGAGGAGGAGGGGGTATTTGCTGGGCTAGAAATGCTGCAAATGTGATTGCCATGTAGTGGACCATGGCAATACCTAAGAATTAAAGTTCAAACCCTCCTTTCAGCCTATATTTTTGTCTGATGCCCCCAGGTAGCCGCAGTGCTTCCTCTTTTCACTCCCAGGTTGCAAATTTGGACTGCCCACGCTGCTGCTCTTGCTGCGCTTCCCATCCCCATCCCTTCCTTTCCCAGGAGCCGCTGGTTCCTCCCAGCCCACCACTGTGGCCTGGGTTTCTAGCAAGATAAGAGCTTGTTTTCTGCAGAAAGTTTCAGGGGAAATTAAGCAGGTGGTTTGACTCAATGTGAGAGCCCAGAACTCATTGGTGAGCCGTGGGAAAACTCCCTGCAGCTCTGCCCTCCTCCTCTTCCTCTTCACCTGTGTTGGTCTGTGTGGACTCTAACAGCCCTCAGATGCAGCTGATGATGAAGAGATGGTAACGGGTCTTGTGGGGTGCAAGAAAAGTCTCACCAGCTGAAAAACTGCTGCCAAACCTTGTACCAGTTTCAAAAGGTCAGGGGAATTTCACAACAGTTTGGTAAATTTGGCATGGTTAGCTTCTGGGGGACTTTTTGTGGTAGGGTTTTGTGCTGAGCTTGATGCTGTTGGAGGTAGTTTCCATGGCTCCTTCTCCCCTGGGCAGTAAGGAAATCGCTTGTGCAACATGTTGGTAGGATTGGGGGCTGACATCTGTGCTGGGAAGGTGAGGTGGACACCTCTGTCCTGGTTTCCCCTTCGCCCAAAAGCTACTTTCAAGTGAAATTCAAGTTGCCATGCTGATGTTCAAGAGCCTCAGCAAAAGGTGCTATTAAACCTCCTGTGAGACCCTTAACTGCCCACTTGAGTGGGTGCATGAAATAACTGGGGCTAAGAGCTCTTGGGGCTGAAAAGAGAAAGCAGAGAAATAAAGAATGTTGAGAAGATGAAAGTGGAGTGGGTATGGAAAATGAAAGGATTCAGCTTGAGGAAGAGATGAGGGTGCAAGTGCAAGGCATCTAAGCAACAGTGGGAACACTTGTCTGTGTGGACCTTCAACCCCTGCTGTAATCCCAGTGATGAAGAGCAGCTGGGAGAGATTTTGCAACTCTTGCTTCTTGATTGACTCCAAACTGGCAGCAGCTGGACCAAAAAAAAAAAAAAATGGCTGTGCTGAGAGCAGGGAGAGTTGACACTAGTGTCCACACACTAGTCGTTCTGGGGGGCTGAGTGGCCTCTTTCCAGATGGCCACAGAGCTGTCCTGCCCTGTAGATTGCAGTTTGGGGTAACTGAGCCCTGAGAAGCTGCAAAGTGTCCCTGAAGTGGATAAGCCCTCAGACCTACAAAACCCAGAGGACTGGTATGTATCCTGCTCTAGAGACAGTGCTGAAGAGGAGGGAACCAGTAGCACCTGGATCTGCTCTTCGTGCCTGGGAGTTTCCTTAGCTGATGTGGATGGAGGCTAGACCCTTTTCTACCAACAAAGTAAGAAAGTCCTTTAGGTGACTGGTGGGTGGTAATGGTGGTGGTTGCCCTCCTGGATTTGGGGGGGCGTTGCTTGGCTTACCCCCTGAGCTTTGAGCTGTGCCTTGGCTGCGTGCTCTGAGTACCTGTTTTTGCAGGAATATGGGCATTTATGACCAACTCGTGTGTGCTCAGAGGTGGTTGCAAGGCCTGGATGCCCAATGGGAGAGCTCTGCAGGATTCTGCTTGGGCAGCATAAGTGTCTTTTGGAAGTTCTGGGCTGTACCTGAGGGAACAGGTCCTCAGCAAACCAGGGCTTGTGAAATTCAACTCCAGGTTGGGGTGGTGTTTGTGAGGTCTGACTCTGTTCCTGTGTTTCAGCAAGCTCCTGGGTGGCCTCAGGGAGGTAGAAATGTGGTCTTGATGCCACTGTGGTGGCCCTGGGGGTGGAGGGGGGAGACCATGCTCTGCGCTGTCCTCTGGGCTGGCTAACCTGTGCAAGCCTGCACAGGCGGTCTCCAGCAGGCAAGGTGCATGGAAAGGTATCCCCTGAGGTGCTCAGCATGAATCACAGTTTTTCTTTTCTCCCCATTAAATAAAACCCTTCTGAGCAAGCAGACTCCTCCTGCTGGCTTCATGTTTGGGGCTTCTATTGAAATAGAAGCTCTCTCAGCTCTGCATGCTGTGGGACCTGAGAAAGGACAACATGCAATAACGTAAAACCATTTATTATTAATGGCCAGTCTGCAGCTGCAACTAAATCATGATGTGATAGATTTTAATTTCTCACCAAGGTAGAGAAACTTGTTTGCTTTTATGGTGGCTTTAAATCTGATGTGACGCATCTCCTTTAGTAGCATTTCTGATGGACAATGTACGGTCCATGTTCACTGTAATCCTCCTTTCGGATCCAGAATGACTGGAAGTTTTTCAGGGAGGCGAGGATAGACCCCCCCATCCAGGCAGAATATCTCCTCAAGGGGATGGCAGATACTCTGATTTTGGCCTGAGAGGGCATTTTTTGGAGGAGTTCACTGGAAAACCTCTTCTCTAGCCCCTCGAAGAGAGAGGACCCTCCACACAGGAGGATGTTTTGGCACATTTTTTCCCTGACAGCTTCTGGCACTTTGTTTAGACTTCTCTGGGTCATCTCATGAATGCCCACGTAAGAAATCCCATGTGCCTTAGGGGGGTTGAAGAGCACCTCTGGACACTGGAACCTCTCCTTCCCAAGACTGATGGTCTGACCATCTGGCAAGGGGAAATCCACCGTGTAGAAGGCCTCAGGGAGGTAGCACTCATTTTCAAAGTCAGGAGCAACATAGCAGCATTTGTGCTTGATGTCTTCTATGACTTGGGTCATGGCTTCACTGAGCATGTACCCGGAGTCCCTGAGAAGCTTCATCAGGTAATGGGTCATGTGGAATCCGGCGATATCCATCCTCTCAGCTGCATGTGATAAGCTGTAACCCTCGTCAACGGGTACTGTGTGGGTCACAGCATAGCCTGCATCCACGACCAAACCAGTGGTTTGACCGTGGGCGTACACTGAGAGGACGGACTGGGAGGCAATGTAAATGCCAGGGGAATGCAGCGACTCAAATGCCAGCTCCACCATCTTCTCTCTGTTGGTGCTAGGGCTCAGTGGGGGATCTGTGATGAGTAAAGCGTGCTCCTCAGTGGGGACCATGAGGTCGTGGTCAAACATGTGCTGCCACAGGATTTCGGCTGCCTCCCAATTGATGATGATGCCACTCTGCATAAGCCCAATAATGTCAACATCATCATGAAGCAAGGCTTCCTCCCTGAAGAAGGCGTGAGGCTCGGTCCTTGCGGACCCCAGGGATTGCCTTGAAGGATAGGCCACCAAGGTGCCGCATTCAGATGTGGGTTTCTGTTGTCCAGCAAACCCAGCTTTAAAGCTCCCCGTGCCGATGTCTATCACAACAGCCCCGGTTCTCGTATCAAAGGAGTGCACGCTTGATGAGGAGCTGTCTCGCTCTGTGTCTGAGGGTGTCTCTCTCGCAGATCCTGAGTGCGGGTCATCCTCGTGCAGTCTGCGCGATGCAGACATTGGGGAACGACTGTTGTCCCTCGATCCCCCGCTGTTTGGCTTGCGAAATCTGAAAGCGCCGATCCCGTGTGGGCTCTGACCAAGGTAGCCGGATCTTTGGGCCGTCTGCAAGGACAGGTGGCAACGTGGCGCTGAGTTCGGTTGGTGGTGGCTTTCTGCAATGCAGGCTCAGAGCTCGTGTTCAACGGCCACCGTTGTCGTAGCGGGAACTGTGACATCACCCGGGGCTGAGCTGGTGGCGGCCGCACTCTCATGGTGCTCTCAAGCTTGTCCTGTCTTCTCTGGGACCTTGGGGCTCTTTGTTTCTTTCCTAGTCCAGCTAATTTGAAACAACGTATGAGGAGCCACTACCTCAAAGCAAAAGTGACCTAGTTAACAGTCCCCTCTGGAGTCCCTCACCACTCCTTGTTTTGAGGAGCGTTTCGAGCCCAATGAGCAGGCTTTTAGCACTGCTCCTGACGGCTGGACGTGTGGGGGCAACTCAGGAGCCTAATGCTGAGAACTGGCCTGCCCCAAAACTCACAGGTTTGTATCACTGTGTGGGGACTCAGAACACATATGCAAACTTACTCTTCCTCTTTCTAAATAGGATCTGATGATACTACCCCCACCTCATAAAACCCTCCTGACTTTTCAGATGGCTGCTTCTCAGAAGCCTCTAGGCTAGCTGGTACTTCCTAAAAATGTTTGAGTGCAGAGAAGGAAGGGATGGCCTTGCCTGAGGTCAGAGAAATTATTTGGAGAGTCCAAACCCAGGCAAGGTGCCACCCTGCAGCCTGCTCATGTCTTTGTTCATTGTGGCTCCTGCTATTTAATCTGGCACAGTCTAAATATCAGATTAGTGATAGGTGCAGGAGCATTGCTGTGGACATAATCATGTTGGTTGGGAACAGGGAAGGACAGGCAGCATTTGCATCATGATAGGCTAAGCTCTGATCTCGGCACTGCCCCAAAATGTCAATTTAGGGACACTTTCCTGGTCCCTTGTCTGGGTGAGAGGCCAGGGCTGGAGCTGCTGGAGGGTGATGGGTTAGTGTGAGCGGGGTGGGAGACCTCTGCCCCCAACCTGTGTCTGGGGGACCTCTCTGTCTTCCAATTAAGTTTAATAAATCCACAATATAATACTTCATGGCATGAAATGTTTTTTCATTAGGGGTGAAGTGGAAAGCTGAAGTGTTGCCCAGCTTCAGTTTACACCAGCTCGTATTACCTCAGTACCTCAGGGGTTTTCTTGGTCTGCCCCCCTTTTTTTTTTTTTTTCAGAGGGGTGGGGGGGAGTGGTCTATGTTGTTGGTTGTGTTGTTTGGCTGCAAGCTGGCACTTGGGGGAAATCCTCATCTGATGCCGGAGCAGTTCCTTTGTGGCTGGGCTGGAGCATACCCAAGGAAAATGATAACTCTTAATTTCCTGACATACTTTTATAAAATCCTCCCTAATGTCTTGCAAAAACTGCCCAGATTGACACCTCCAAGAATTTCCTAACACCCTTTTGGCTGAAAGGCTAACTGGCACCGTGCTGGCTGTGCCTTTAGCTTGGATTTATTTACTGCTGCTCTTGGAAGGGACTCACTGAATTGCAGTGATTGAATACAAGCTCTTGCACAAGCTCTTTTGCATGTGTCTGGCAGGGTCTCTGCCAGCTCTGTAGCTGATGTCTGGCTGTTTGCAGAGTCCAGCCAGGGCCGTGCTTGGACGTGACTCACATGAGAGCTTGGAGAAGGGGCTGCAGCAATGTGGTGGGTCCTGGGCCATGCTGAAAGTATTAGAATTGACAAAAATGTCCTTTATTGAACATGGAGGGGGAAGTTGGAGTCGCTTAACGCTCGTTTTTTTGCTGGTATGTTGGACAAAGTATATTTCAAACTGTCAGATTTTGTCTCCTGCTGTCGCTAATGCTGGTGGTGCTCTCAGAGAAGAGCAGAAGGGCAGGGAATGGGAGGTGTAAAACCCCAGCAGTGGCTCTACGAGAGGTTCAGATTTGCTTCTTGCAGGCTGGCGGGGAAAGAATTATCTTTCAGTAACTGTGGTACCAACAAGGCAAGGTTTCCCTTCTGGGTAAAGCAACCATTTTGCTAATTAAATTCCTTCTTAGCTTCAGCATGGCTTCAGCTGGCAGACTGTATGAGATTGAGATATCTCCCTTGGAGTTTTTTAAGTCTTTTGAAGCATAGCTAGTGACAAAACTGAGAGAGATAAGTAGAAAGGATGGGCTGATCTATCCTCAACTACAGGACTATAAAGCCCAACAAGCTCTAATAACCCACAACTGCTTTCTGTGTCTGGCCCCTGTGCACCATCATTGGGGTCCTGTTCCACCTCTACCCTTGGAGGAAAGATCTTCAGTGGAATAGAAGTTGCTGGTTGCAAAATGATGCTGGGGTTGGTGCTAAAATCTGAAGTTATGGGGAAGTGCCTGGATGTGTGTGCTGACTGGTGCTCTCGCTGCATAGGGGAGGAAGTGCCATGCCAACGAAGGCCTTCTTGATGACATTCCTATGCAGTTGGAGCACTTTCCCACCTGTGAGACCCAAGCTGCAGAGCAATTGCTAGGAAGAGTGAGGAGAAGCAGCTGTATCTTTTATCACTGCTGTTCAGTATGAAATATTAAGGCCTGAAAAGGAGATTGATGAACTGTTTCTTATTAGGCAGCAAATATCAGGACAGTGCTAGGGAAGTGCAGCTGGCCCTGTATTGAAAGAGCCTTGGTACCATCCAAGGTTGGTTTACCCATTGAGAGTAGTGGGGAGATTCGTCAAAGACCCACCAGGAAAAATATAGGAGAGAGAAACACAGAGGAATAGCCCTGGTGCATCTGCAATGTCAGGACAGAGGGGAGAGAGCGGGAGGCCTAAGATCCTGCTGGGAGGGAAAAAATGGTGGTAGGATGGGATGCTGTTTGGGGTTGCTGTAAGGGTGTCTGAGAAAGATCCATGACCTCAGCCACCATCTGGCTCCGCCCTTCTCTCGATGCTGCCCTTGGCCCTGACCCCAGCCAAATATCCACCTCCCTGGGTGTGCTAATCTCTATCTCTGGAGCAAGAGAAGCCATTTCACTACAGCAAGAGGTGGATTAAATCTCTGCCTGGGGCCAGGTCACTGCGCTAGTGGCACGGGCACTTGCGTCACTGCTGAGCTGCTCTTGTCATTCAACCCCTCCTGTCCCATCCCTCCCCAAGTGAGCTCAGCGGGCAAACACAGGCCCATGTCCAACCATAATATGAGGCACATTGCGACACAAAATGGGGATGGCGAGAGGTGCAGTGGTATGTGACGGCTCTTTCCTCTTGGAAGACAGCCCCAGAAGGAGGCTTGCAGATACCACGCGTCTCTGCGGTGTGACCCAGTCTGGCCCTTTTTTGCCTGCAGTATGTATCTCTCTATATTTTTTCGTAACATGCAGGTGCTGTTTTCTCAGTTCCTAAAATCCCTTCTCTAAACTTTTTGGTACTCTTTTTTAGCATTTCAGCAATATGGCCAGTTGAAGATTTGGGGTAAACCTTAGGAGGCCCCTGGGGGTCATCTTCTCCTGAGAAAGAGCTGGTCCTCTAACCTCTAGAACCCCCTACCCAGCTCGGTTGCTGAGATTTTGAGGGTCTCCCCTCAAAGGCTGAGCCTAGAAATCCAAATG